TAGCTAGCAGCAAGGTGCGGGATAGTCAGTCCCGTATAGATCTATACACAACAGTCACGCTCTCCCTCGAGGAGATTCTGATCACAAGTGCTAGTCCTTCACTCAGTTAAGTTTGTGAGTGTTACCAAGGACGTGTCTCCAACTAGACTAACAAATTTACAAGTAATAATGCTGAAAACCCTTTTTGTAAATAACTGAAAGGTTTATAAAGTGTGAGTTTGTAAACTGTGGTATGAATTCCCCAAACTATACCTATTATAGTTTGTGTGTACATATATGTATAACCTTGTATGAATTCCCAAACTATACCTAATATAGTTTGTGTGTACGTATTTGTATAACCTTGTATGAATTCCCAAACTATACCTATTATAGTTTGTATGTTTGTAAGTGTAAATCATGTATTGTTTTGAAAACTATGTGGTTAAGTTCGTACGTTGAGAACGTCCCTTATGCTCAGCATAATACAGAAGGGATAAAATATCTAAAATATTTTGTAAAAAAGTAGAAACTGTGTGTTTGTACTTATTTCGTCCGTTTTAAGTTTACTGAAATCCGTTTGTGTAACTTTCATAAAATCAGTTATGTTTGACTTGTATTCCCCCCCCCCCCCCCTGAAAACATTAAAAACTCGGAAAAATGTAGGGGTATGAACTCACCTTGAGTGAGTGGTTTACACGAAAGACCGGTATGAGATGACGAGTGTCAAGTGAAACCTCGAACACAACTTGATCCTAATTAACATGTAATGACACATATAGGAGTCAAATGAAGGTATTTCATTACCACACATGAGAGGGAACCACTCTAGGGACTTGGAACTACTTGCACTAAGTGTTAGAACCTTATGGGATTGAGTGGGGGAGGTGTACGGCCACCCTAAGGGGGTGTGCGGTCCATGAGTGTGCGGCTGTACACTCATGATGGGATGTGTCTTTGAGGTGATTCCAAGGTTCTAACTAGCATCCATGAAGTGTTCTAGGTCCATGCTTAATTGTAGTGCGAGTTTGAGGCCAATAAAGATCACCAAAGTGGGTTTGCGGCCACAAGGTGTGTGTGCGGCCGTACAGAGGGATGTGCGGCCGTACACTCCACATGTTCATGCCCAAGATGTCAACTTTAAGGTGCAACAAGGCTGGGGTCATGTCCAACTCGAAGATAGGGGTCAAACTCTCACTTTGGAGAGCCTTTAAGGAGTGTACGACCCACCTTATGAAGGTGTACGACCGTACTCTCTTCAAGACATGAAGAACATGACGAATCTTGTAGCATCAAGGCTTAGATAGAGTGGTCTTTCAAGGGTATCAAGTTAAAGGATGAATTACTCACGTTCTTGAAGCTTTGGAGGCTTCACGGTTGAAGAACTTGAGAGAGATGAAGTAGTGTGCGGCCAAGGTGAGAAAAGAATGAAAGGAAAGGGGTTTACCCTTTATATAGGAGTGAGTGTGTGGTCAGGAGGGGTGTGTACGGCCGTACACCCATGTGTGCGGCCGCACACTCCTCCAAAAGGGGTGTATGGCCCGAATTTCTACTTTGTGACTTGCTAACTCATCTCCAATCTCAACCTTGGTTGTACTTAAGCTTAGAACACCTAAACGAACCCTTAAACAGTGTTAAAAGGTAACAGAAACGAGTTCAACATTGATTGATTTGAATAGGTGTACAAGTTAGAAGTTCCGGGTTGTCACAGACGGCTAGCCTATTAGGTTACGAATCTAATCGTTGTATCAATAATTTTGATTATATATATATATATAATATATATATATATATATATATATATAGAGAGAGAGAGAGGGAGAGAGAGAGAGGTTCCGTTGAGATTCAAAATAAAATAAAATTTTTGAAGTTCAACCTCAACTACATATTTCACATCTACCGCTCTAACCCTCCAGTGTGCCGGTGCGGCGGATCAGTTATAATCATAAATAATTATATAGTGTCGTCCGTTCCTTTCTCCTCCGCCACCATCCCCACCACCACAATTGTCACCGCTACCACCACCATCCGACCTTACCATTGCTATCTCCGTCACTTATACCACCGCCACCTCTGCCACCATCACCTCTTCTCCACCAACTGTTCTAATCATATATGATTACTCAATCTATGAACAAACATATATGTATAATCATTTATGATTATTCATATACGTATAAACATGTATAATCATATATGATTATACCCCTCTGCCATATAATCATTTATGATTTGACATACCTTGTTGCCGCCGGTACGCTGGAGCGTTAGAACGGTAAATGAGAAATATGTGGTTGAGGTTAAATCTCAAGATCTTTAATTTTTTTTTAATCTCAAGTGAACCGTTCCATATATATATATATATATATATATATATATATAATATATATATATATATATATATACAGTGGCGGCCCTGGGGTGGTGTCGGCGGTGCGGTCGCACCAGGCCTCCGATTTTAGGGGGCCTCCGATTTTTAGGATAATTTATAGTTATAGTATTGGTATTTTTGTAAAATCTATTTTTATGTTTTATCAATAAATAAAATTAGCCTGGTAACTTTTGGTTCCAATTTTAGATGCGTTTTAACATTTGGCCTCCGATGCGTTTTAATTACCGAAACAAAGTCTCACTTTAAAATCATTGTCAACCACAAGGTGGGAAAGTAGGATTGAAAGTGTGAAAGCAATAGTTACTCAAGCTCCTGAAATAGTAAAAGCTCTGCATAAACTTGTTGAAGAAGAGACATACATAAAGATCATAAGTGAAGCTACTTGTCTAGCAGAGTATGAACTTGGCAGATTTGACTTTATAACAGTTATGGTTATATGGTATCATATATTGGCTAAAGTAAATAACCTGAGCAAACAACTTCAGTCTGAGACTATGCGTATTGATGAGTGAGTAGTGTGGGAGCACTTATTGAGTTTTTTAAAGACTATCGAGAGAATGGGTTTGGGAAGGCTTTGGATTGTGCGAGAGCTATAGCTTCTGATTTGGAAATTTATCCAGTGTTTGTTGAGAAAAATAATAAAAGAAAAGTTGTTAAAAAAAGACATTTTGATGAGAATGACATTGGGTCATCAGAGCCGGTACATGAACTTTCACCTCAAGAGTCATTTAGGATTCAATATTTTGTGTACATAGTTGATCAAGCTATTGGTTCATTGGAGCGAAGGTTTGAACAATACAAACAATATGAAGACATTTTTGGTTTCTTATTCACAACAGAAAAGTTGAAATCAATGAATACTAGCGAGTTAAATTCATGTTGCAAAAATCTGGAAAAGAGGCTGCAAAATGGTCATATCTCAGACATTAATGCTGATGATTTATCATTACAACTGGAGTTGTTACAAAAACATTTACCGTTGAACACAATACAGCTAACGGAATACTAAATTTCCTAAAAATGATGAACACTTATCCAGTTTCTTGTCTAGCATACAGAATATTGTTGACTGTTCCTATTACAGTTGCATCAGCGGAAAGAAGTTTTTCAAAACTAAAGCTTTTAAAATCTTATTTGCGCTCGACCATGTCTCAAGAGAGATTAAATGCTTTTGCATTGATTTCGATTGAGAACGAGTTTCTTGAGAATATTGATTATGAAAGTCTCATAGATGAATTTTCTTCTAAAAATGCTAGAAGGTCAATGTTTAGAAAATAGTAATGCGTTGTTTTTTTTTTGTTGAAAAGTTGTTTATAACAGTTTTACAGTTTTATTTGATTACCAATGAGTGATGAAGACATTATTTTGTGGTAGTGAATTTATGAGATGTTTTTTTAGCAACTTTATGTTTTGAATTAGTGGTAGCAAATGTAGTTAATAATATTTACAAGAAATTTTTGTGGGGCCTCATTTTAGTTTTTGCATAAGGCCTCCGAAATATCAGGGTCGGGCCTATATATATATATATATATATATATATATATATATATTATTATTTAGGGATCCATTTTATTTTTTGCATAGGGACTTCAAATCAACGTATCGGCTTTGGTGAATCTAATAGAAGTTTCCCCTCTCGTAGGCATGAGGAGTGGCGATTTCAGTGTGAGGAGAAATTGTTTTGAAAACTAACTATTGCAACCCGACAAAACACAAAAAAACATGCACGAGTAATCAACATGTATTTATGGCATTTGTTTTTATACTTTTGGTTTTTTTGCACTAAAGGCCGTAAAGTTTTCCAATAAAGTTAAACTGGTGATGTATGTTGTGACCCCAATATCCATAGATGTAGATTTTTTAAAAAATTAGTTTTTCTATCCGGAAAAGTTAGCAACATAACTTGATGATTGTCGTTTGGCGTTTGCCTTTAGGGGGTGTTTGACTTATCTTTTGAGAGGCCAAAAGTCCTTTTAGGAAAAAGATAAAAGTTAAAAGATGTTTGGTAAAAACACTTTTAAAGTCTATTTTTGGATTTTGAATATAAGGAAAACTCACTTTTACTTTTTGCAACTTTTCCTAAAATGACTTTTGGCATCTCAAAAGATAAGCAAAACATATGTTTTTTATGTGATTTTTAATAATGTGTTGTTGACATATGAAAAAATTTGTGCTGTTAAAAAGTCAATATTTCCATGTATTTTTTTGATGTTAAGACTTGGCCGAGTCAATGTGAGAACAGACCACTAATATTATAGATTCAAATCAAGATATGAATTTTTCTAATTTTATAACATTACTAATTTTCTTCCATGTTGGTCGTAATACAGTTATACAGATGAATGAGATACAAAAGGTGGCTTTCAACCTTATATTTTCACAAAAAGAAAAAGATTTTGTTGAAAAATTCAAAGTTTTCTCGTGTGAAAATAGTTCCCGAGTGCTTGATTCTAAGACCATATAACGTTCCACTTAAATTTTACCCACAAAAAAGAAACATAATCACAAGTCAAAAAGCAAAACATTAAAAAGACAAAGGGAAAAGTAACCAGTCCCTTTCATAATTCATCCTTCTTCTTCGTTAGGTAACCAGTCCTACTTTGTGTTACCATATATAATTCAAGATCGCTATCCTCTCTCATTATCAAATTCCCCTTCCCATAAGAAACCGCTTCCTACTTGTTTGTATCAATAATTCATCATTAAAAAACTGTCCCATTGTTTTATCCTACTTGAATACTCATTCATGGCCCCTTTTGCCGTTTCATGTATTCTGTGCACAAGATCTTTCATGTCTTCTTGATCGATCGTCTGTTTTTTACTGTAACTTCGTTGACTCTTGTAATTGGTATAAAACTATAACCAGTTATGGCATACCCATGTCTTGATTTGTAGATCAATTGTGGGTTTTGTTGAAGAATCGATGTTGCAAGTTAAGAATTTAGTGGAAATCAGATGTGGGTGATTCGTAGTGGAGCAATGGGTATGGGTTGTTTCGGTGCTTTTGATGCATGTAAAGCAAGAACTAGAAAGCTTCCAGATGGTAAGATTATTTCACTGTTTTTTTTTTTTTTTAATTCATACAATTATACATATACACAACATGTATAGATATGTTTTTGTCTGTGTGTGTGTTTGTTTGCTTGCATATGATTATATCTTTAGCTCTTAGTGGTATTTAACGTAACTGGAAACAATAGTTTGTATATAATATTTATTGATATGTGGCGTCTTATTTTCATTTATATGTATTAGAATATTGTTTTGAAAATATCATTGAATTATAACCTTTCGTCCAAATAGAAAGCAATTTCAGCGTCATAAGATTTTTTTAAATACTAATATTCTAATTGGAAAAAGTGAAAGTAAAATGTTCTAATTGAATAGATTTTCCGAACTATATATTCTTGGTTAATCCCCGGTGGTTAACCTTCAAAATATTTATTAATAACCTTTATTTTATCAAATTCTATTTATAGTTTAACTTTTACAAAGGCTTTTTATTTTATCCTCATCTATCTTTAACGTCTCTAAAAGCCTTTCATGTAATTTTTCGTTTTCATCACATGTTAAATTTCTCAAATTAATATTATGTTACATTAATAATATAGTTTTCTATAAAATATATTTATTTTTATTCTATGTATTTAATAAAATAAATTAAATACTCAAAAATAATAAAAATTTGATATTTGAATACAAAGTAAGGTTTCAAATAAAATGTTATTATTTGTAGGGGCAAAATGTACTCAACATATAGAAGAAATAAGTGGCTGAAAACCTCCACAAAATCTCACCTCTCCAATGGTAAAAAATACTACCATTGAAAATGCTCTAAGTAAGAAGAAAATTAAAAATATAATGTTGTAATAGAAATAAACGAAAGCAGAATGCTATAATATATTTTGGCATTTAGCGAGCCCTTCTATGAAGAATTTCCGTTTTATATGCTTGCTAATGTTAAATTGTTTTTTGGTTGGTTAGATATTGCTACTAACAACATTAAACAGTTCTCCTATAATTCGTTGAGATCGGCTACAAGAGACTTTCACCCATCAAATAGAATCGGTGGAGGTGGTTTCGGAGTTGTTTATAAGGTAAAATCCCGCTAACATACACACCTAAATTTCCTATGATTTACTAATATTTGATAATTTCTAAATTAGTTTACTAAAATTAATTTAAATGTTTATATTGTAGGGGGTTTTGAGAGACGACACTCATATTGCAGTCAAGTCGCTTTCTGCTGAATCAAAACAAGGGACAATTGAATTCTTGACAGAGATCAAAACGATTTCAGGCATCCGACATCCAAATCTTGTTCAACTTATAGGTTGTTGTGTGGAGGATGGTCACCGGATTTTGGTATATGAGTACCTCAAGAACAACAGTCTTGCTAGTGCTTTACTTGGTATTGTAATTCTTTCTACTAAGATCATGTTACTTTTTTCTTTCTAATTAAATGGTGTCCGGATAAATGATGTTTCAAAAATATATTGGGATTATGACGACAACTTGAGAATGGAAGGAAAAATGAGGAAAGTCTTCTTTTATTGACTAAGGTTGGACTTAACGTGGAAAGTCTTATCTATTAAGTCGTTCTTTTTTGTATTAAGTAAAAAAACACCATATATAGCTTATCGGATTAAGGTCGTATTTATTTTCTTTCCCCCCATAAAGTGTAGTCTGGACTAACGTTGTTTAAAATTATTTGAAAAAATGACCGCACACTTGAGATAATGAAAGTAAAAAGTAAATGAAAGAAAATTATAAAAAGCTTGGACTTAATGGGAAAAGTCTTCTTTCCATAACTTTCTTTATTAAATCGCTCTTTGCATTAAGTGAAAAAGAAACAAATTGGTATAGTTTAGTGGATCAAGGTTTTATTTTTCTATATTAAGTCATAAAGAAATATGCATATATAGCCTACTGGATTAAGTATTTTCTCGAGTCCATTAAGTGAAAAGAAACCACACCCAACTTTCGTATCCTTTCTCGTTCAATGATAGGCTCAAGAGGCAAACACCTAAACCTTGATTGGGCTACACGAGCTCATATATGCAAGGGCACTGCATCAGGTCTTGTATTTCTTCATGAGGAAGCTGAACCACATATTGTCCATAGAGACATAAAGGCAAGTAACGTACTTCTTGATGGAAGCTTTGATCCCAAAATAGGAGATTTTGGACTCGCAAAACTTTTCCCTGACAATGTCACTCACGTTAGCACTCGAGTTGCTGGAACAGTGTAAGAAATGTTCAACCACATTCTCGTTTTCTTTTCAACATATTGCATGAAATATCAATTAGCAATGCACTTTACTCTTTTTTTTTGCGTATATAGTCAGTATACTTTATCTCTTACCCATAATAACAATGTGCTTAAATCTTTTTTTCCCATAATAGCAGTATAAACACGTTTTTCACTGATAATATCAATATGTAACTCACGACAACTTATGTACAATTTCGTTACACATATAACAACTAACTTCCATTTTCTTACCCATAATAGCAACGTATACATAATTCTCTACTAATTATAGCATTATGTACCAAATAAGTACAATGTCCATATTGGTAATGACATGTATGTACGTTGCTTTTATAGGTAAAAGGTAAAGTACGTTGATATTATCGGTAAAGAAATGTGAAAACACTATTATCATAGGTGAAAATAAAGTACATTGTCCATATTGGTAGCGAGAGTAAAGTACAGTGATTTGGCCCATGAGCTTTTTTTTACTGCTTGGATCTGATTTTGATAGGGGATACTTGGCTCCAGAGTACGCTTTATTGGGTCAACTTACAAAGAAAGTGGATGTATACAGTTTTGGAGTACTTATGCTTGAAATTATAAGTGGTAGAAGTAATAGTAAGGCGGCCTTTGGCGAGGATCTCCTGGGTCTCGTTGAGTGGGTATGTTTTTTGACCACTATGAAAGTTAAAACACAATACAATACATATTTAAAACATATAATTCACACACACACACACACACACACACATATATATATATATATATATATATATATATATATATATATATATATATATAAACACACACACATAAACTATTTTGGTTATAAATTCTAAGTCTAATATATAAAGTTATAGTAGTAAAAGGATACAATCAAGTTATTAAAAAGATAATAAATAAAAGGGTTGTATTTTAAAATATGTAAAAAGTATAATATATAAATTTATAGTGTTATGGTTTCGAACGGGTCTTAATGATGATTTAGCAATATATTGTGAATTGTGATAGAAAGACTTTGAAAATTAATGTATGACAAATAATATAAAATGAAAAGGGTTACTCGTATAACAACAAAAGGTCAAATGTGGACTTTCTATTTCTGACACGGAGGTAACATGTGTCAAGAAATGTTCGTTTTTATTACACAGTTGTGGGTATCAAAATCTCTCTTATTTTGTAGGCATGGAAGCTAAAAGACGAAGAAAGACTTCTAGACATTGTGGACCCTGACCTAACAGAATGTCCAGATGACGAAATTATGCGATTTATTATAATTGCACTCTTTTGTACACAAGCGGTTTCAAACCAAAGACCATCAATGAGGCAAGTAGTTGAGATGCTCACCAAAAAAGTCAACCTCAACATTAGATTGTTGACCGAACCAGGGATATACAAGCCGAATTCGTCCTCTAGTCGTTCTAAAGGTGGTGTGTCACAAGTAACAACAAAAAGTGGAGCATTTAATGGTCGGAAATCAATAAATCCTTTTATAACTACTTCACCACATGTTAGTAATTCTTTCAGCAGTATGTCACAAATGTTTCCTAGATAATCATTATATTCAAATTACTTAAACCAAAGGGTTTCTTAGGTTATGTACCATAGCTTTGTAGTTGTTTTTCCTTATAGCGTGATCACGAGTCACTTTAAGATGTAAATGTAACACTTTCGTATAAGAAGTATGTGTTTGTAATGATGTAAATTGTAACACCTTTCGTATGAGAAATTTGAAATAATAATTTAAAATAGAAGTTTCAAAGTATTTTATATTTTAATAAAACAATTTGTAGAAAAAGATCGCAAATGGTCAAGTCCTTAATATATTAAAGTTCAAAGTATTATGGCATACAACATGGTTACCAAATAATCAATAGAAAATAGTCTTTAAAGTAAACATTAACAATACATCACAGTTCTAAATAAATTCTTCTTAATGTATAAATGATAAATGTGTTATTAAGTCTTTGATTAAGCCTCCTAAATTGAATACATGTAAATAAAGTATGTTTGGTTTGAGAAGCGTAGTGAGCATTACCGGGGTTAGACATTGTTTAAGAGTAAGGGGCTGTTTGGCAGGATCTGAATTTTTAAGGTCTGAATTTCTAAGAGGGTCTGAATTTTTAAGATCTGAATTTTAACATGTTGTTTGGTTGGAACATCTGAATTGTTGTGCTGAATGGTAAAAATGACCATTTTACCCTTATGTACTATTTTTTGCTGAATTCAACATTTTTGTTTTATAAAATAACTGGACCCACATAATAGCAACCAACTTTACCAATGATTCTCAATATTTTGCACAAAAAATAAACACCAAGATTGCTCCATATGTTACAACAACTTTATCCGTAAACATAAGAAGTTAAACAGGAAACAATGAAAATAAACAAAGATTGCATTTGCATTTTGACTTTTCAAATAAAACATTCAATCTTAACAGTTGCATTTGCTTGTCAAATAAAACATTCAATCTCAACAATCGCATTTGCATTCGCATTTGTATTTCAAAGGGTACCCTTCTACAACTTCCTTCTCTAATCTCCATAAAAGGTGGTTTTCTTCTTCCGTTTATGTATTACCCTCCACCATAGGTGCTGCAATGTAAAGGCAGATTAATGGGGGATTTTGTGCCATTACCTGCCGTTATTGTTTCTCTATGAAGATGAGATTCATGTTGGGTGAATAGCATCACCCCAGTTGATAGAAGAAATTCAGGACCTTTCACCTACAAAGCCATCCACCTTGTATAAGAACTTCATACAACTTTATTAACAACAAAAATAAACAGGCTTCATATAAATTTCATACAGATTACAGTTTAAACCAAATATTGAATATGTAAAAATTTGCCACGAGTTTTAATTTTTTCAAAATCAAATCATGTATTGTCAAACAAAGTGAAGATAGTTTGAACAAAATATTGGTTTTGACAGAAAATCGAAGGATTCATCCTACTGATTGAAAATCGAACTGAAGCAAAAATCATCAAATTAGAACAAAGCAACTACATGAAAATCAAGCAAAATATACCTGATATGATTTGGAGATGGGAAATCAAACTGAAGCCCCGTTTCACTATGGGAAGACGATGGGAGAATTCCACAATTTCGTCGTCGTTGCTGGAGAAGAATGATCGGGGATGGGGAGATGCGTGATTTGGATGAAGCCGACACTAGCGGATGGTGACAGCGACGACCGTAGCGGGCGGAGGCGTCGATGGCATTGGCGGACAGAGGCGGCAATAGCGCTGCAGACGGAAACGACGATGGCTGAAAGATGGAATCGGTTTTAAGAGGGAGTCGTAGTTGAAGGGACGTCAATTTTAGGGCAAAGGGGCAAGAGCGTAATAATTTTATTCGGAGTGGTAGGCATATGGAGGTTTCCGATCGGAGAGGGAGTGGGAGGGAGAAGGGGCCTGCGACAGTGTTGTGTGCGATGAGTGCAGCGGAAGTCCGGTGATGTTCTGGTGATAGCGGAAGAATGGGTCGACGTTTGTTAATGAAAGGGAAGACGGAAAGGAGTGGTGTCCGAGGGCAAATGAGGAATGCGCGTTCCTTTTTTTAATTCAGATACATCCCAAAATTTGAAAAATTAAGAGTGCTTTTTACAAATTAAGAGCCATAAATTCAGATGTTGCCAAACAGTCTGGATCTTAAAAATTAAGAGATTGCTTCTTAATTGAAAAATTAAAAGGCTACCAAACAAGGCCTAAGGAAGCTGCACATTCCATACACAATGAAGCCTCTCTTATTATACTATAGCAACGGGAGAAGTCAGGCTTGGTGCCATTAAATCTACAAAAAAAAAACATTTTACCCAAATAGAATTGTGAACTCCCAAAAAGTTTTCAAAACTTAAAAGGCTAGTATAAGTTCAGTTTAAGGAAAAAGATGCAGTTTTTTACTTATGACAATTTAAGTGTATTGTAAGTTGTAAAAAATTTCATTAAAGTTGCTACAACACTGCCTATAAAATGTCTTATTTTAACTATGTTGAAATATGTTGTAGAAGGCGCAAGGGAAAAAGTCGTTTTGAAAGGTATTTTAAGAGAAAATTTTGAAGGTTGTTTGAAAGTTGAAATTACACATGTTAATTATTATAGAGTCTAACTCGGATGTAACTCACTAGGCTTTCTAGCCAAACAAACTATGTTCACATATGGCACGGGTTGCAGGTGACTCGTGAGCAGTAGAAAGATGTCAAGGTAATTAGAGACTATTGGCGAAATATAGTTGAGGCCTTGGAAATAGATATAATTTACAACATTATTTTTACAGTTTTAGGTATGAAAAATTTGAGATTAGAGTTTATTTTATTTAAAAAATTCGAATAAGATATTTTCAAATAGTCCTTTGAGGGGTGATATATATATATATATATATATATTATATATATATATATATATATATATATAGGTTATTTTCTTTCTAGTAACTATTGTGTGCCAGAATGCACAGATCTGAACCATTGGATGAAATATAATCAAAGGTCATTGTCACACCCCCAAACCAGAACGGCAGAAACGTTCGGGGGCGGAGGATGTCATGCTCAGTATCATAACCATAGTGAAGAAAGTAAACACAACCATCATATATATAATTTAAAAGGTTACATCGTTTCAAAAGTATATGTTTCCAAATAAATTACATATGATGTCAAAATATAGCAAAAGAATCTACGCCTTAGCGTCTTGACTTCATAAGTCTTATGGTTACCTGTTTTACTGATTACCTGAGAATACAAGTTGTTTTGAAAGAGTATCAACATAAAACTGGTGTGTTCATAAGCAATTTATAAATGAAAAATGAATGATGTTCCTTTTTGTTTGTTACAAGTTTGTTTCCAGAAAATCCAATATTTTCTTAAGGGTTGTTATAGTCTTAACCAAACCAAGATTTAGTGTATGTAAGTAAATCGTCATACTCGTGTGTGTGTGGTTTTATATTTAAGTAAAACTCCTTAAATCTCCGTGAACTGTGTGTTTTGTTAATTTCCCATGTGAGATGTTATAACCATACTAAAATCGAAGACCTCGTACTCGACGTTATTCAGGCGTCGGAATGTTATGACACTTGTCATCCCAGACCTGGCGGTCTAGCTGTTGCAAGCAGCTTAGGTGCGGGTTTGTCAGACCCAATATAGATCTATACACAACTATCACACTCTCCCTCCAGGAGATTCTGATTATAACTACAGGACTTTACTGTGGTACTTAAGAGTACCCCGAAGGAGAATGTCTCACAAATTTATTTATTAACAAGTTCACGTAGTGTGTAATGAAATACTTGTTTTGTAAGTCGATTGAGTTATTGTTTTCTTTGTCAAATGAAGTGCTCAAACTATACCTATTATAGTTTATCAAAAGTGTTGTGTGTTTGAATGAAACCTTGTTATGCATGTCTTTGTATTTCCATAAAATGTCATTTAAAATACTAAGTGTAAATCGTACACACCTTGCTCAGCATGTTACAAGGTGTGAATAACTCTTAAACATGTATTTGACAGTTTTACCCTTAACTGTCACTGTTTTAGAATATTTATAGAAAAATCATCGTAAGTCGAAAACTGAATCCGTAAACTCTGAGTATTTGGAAAAAGAGTCTACTATATCCATAAATTTTCCTATAATTTTTGGTGATCTCAAACTAGGGTGAAAATGTTCATCTTCACAACCTGGTCCGATTTTGATGCTGCAGTGATAGACAGTTTTGTAAAAATCACCATAAATTGTAGAAAAATCGTATGGAGATGTGCAAGTAGTCATTTTAAAGGTATAAACCTGAACTACATGCCTATTAAACAGTTTTGAAAAATATTAAGTTTAAGTTGGGTAAAATAGTTCGTGAACAGGTCACAACTTTTCTGTTGTAAGCTGTCAAGTTAAGTTTCAAATATGTTTTGGTGTTTTAACTTGTATCCCCCCCCCCCCCTGAAAACTACAGAAAACGGGAAAATGTAGGGGTATGAATTCACCTTGAGTGATTTCTAAAAGAGGGGAAGGTTGAAGTCGAGGAGTATCAAATCAAGAACACTTGATGAACACGTGGAAGCTTGGATGATCCTAAGAACGATTTTTGGTGTTAGGATATGAGTCGATGATCCAAGAGTGTTATGAAATTATGGAATAACACTTGAGTTTAGATGGAATACTTACCAAAAAGTGCAGTAGTAGCTCAAGAACACTTTCACAAAGTGATGGGAAGTAGAGAGAAAATGAGGCTCTTTTGGTGTTTTGAGAAGTGTAAGTGTTTGAAATGATCAAGTAAGCCAAGAAATCCTCTAGGGATTTCTATATATATTGAAGGTTGCTGGAGCAACTTGTAAGTTTGAAGTGATGTTTGCATTGGTTTGTGTGATGTGGATAATGTTGGCTAATGAGAGGATGACACATGGAGGCAAGTGGGCACACTTGAACTCGACCCACTTGTGGGGTAGAATACTCCTCTTATTATAAAATAATGATTTTTAATTAATAATCCATGAAAAATAAATAAAATATGAGTTTTGGGGGTTAAAAATGGTAAAAATATGAATTTGGTGAAAAAATCCCGTAAAAAACGGGCTTAGGAAGCGAAAGCAGTCAAAAACCGGGCATTATGGACCGAACCTGCGAGGTTCGGCTCTTGGAAGTGCTGAGGACCGAAAGTAGAGTAGGAACCGAGAGAAGGGAGTAGGGACCGAAGGTGCGAGGGGAGGAACCGAAGGTGGCAGGCTCGGTCCGAAATGGCTATGGAACCGAAATGGACCGAGGGTTCGACCTATTTCGGTTGTAGGGAGTTTCGGTCCTGCATGCATGTTCGGTCTACTGAGCTTCGGTCCGAGAAGGTGGGTTCAGTTCTGACAAGTTTGCTTCTGACAAGTTCGGCTCTAATAGGAGGGTTCGGCTCCTAAGAGGTTCGGTTCCTAAGAAGGGTTTTGGCCCTAATTAGCTGTTTTTCAATATAACTCTCCGTTTCAAGCCGTTTTTGGCCAAGTTAAGGGTCGGGATGACTATAAAAAGTTGAGAGAGATTTTGAGAGATATTTGGGAGAGATTTCACATACTTGGAGAGATTTGGGAGAGATTTCACATACTTGGAGAGATTTGGGAGAGATTTCACATACTTGGAGAGATTTGGGAGAGATTTAATCTTAGCCATTATTATCGTATAATCCCGTAATGCAAGGTTCGTGAACCCCGTTATGCTTCGTTTATGATTGTTTTAAGTCTTCGAAAGGGTCCTTAGTCGTGTTTTGATGCGTTTAACTCCCTTTTTAGGGTTTTTACATGGCTAAACACATAGATTCTTCGAGACACTTGAATTCTTGACATACAAATGCACATTTTTTTTATACATAGAATAACTTTTAGCATACAAGTACTAATTAAGTTTGACCGGTTTGACTTGTTGACTTTGACTTGTTGACTTTGACTTTGACTTGAATTTGACGGTTGTCACAGTCATGATCTGAGGGTCTATGATAGTAGAATAGGATAACATGTACCATATAATCACACAAATTTGAGCATAAGGGCATTTTAGTCAATTAACCTATATTAAAAAAGGAAATTTTCGGATTTTTAGGGATAATTAATTCCTTTATTTTTAAAAATCTGAATATTTTAAATTAATTTAAAATTAAAAATCTGATTTTATTCTGTCAGAATGATAGAATTTTAACCATAAAGTAGTAAATATATTTTTCGATTTTATTCTGTCAGAATGATAGAATGCCAACCATAAACTAGTAAATACATTCTGAAAGACTACACAAAATCGATTCTTGAACTAATAATATACCAAATAAATACATTGTATGATTGTGATTCATTGAATAATAACAAACATTCTGAAAGAATAACAAGTATAATTCTTAAAAAATAACAACATTCTTAAACAATGAGTGTGATCATTCTTTAATTCATTCTTCAAGCCTTTCCCATCAGGTCTTTAAGCCATTCTTCAAGCCATTTCTACCAGAAATTCATTGCCAAGTAATTTGTAGTGATACACTTGTAACAACTGCACATTAAACATACAAATAATTAACTACAATTCTATCAGAATACAACAATAATATTCTTACAGAATAAACTATTCTTGCAGAATGGTTTTGAATATTCTTAAAGAATTTGTATTATCAAGAATATACCCAACAAACAAAACATTTGAAAATATAAATGCAGGAAAAGATCATGTTAACACAAAGATGTATTTTTAGATTATCGTGGATATCAATGTACTAGCAAGTGGTTGTGGATAACACATATAAACCAACAAATTGTCACATTTTAGATCAAATGAACAATTTTTTTGGAATGCAAATATTTCATCTCAAAAGTTGCATTCATGGCTATTATGAGCTTTTTAATGACGATCAAGTAACCTTAAATGAGATAAAAAAAACACAAAGGGTAACCAAAGATTTCATGAAGAATAAAACTGAGTTTTTTAGATTCCAAATATACAATAACGAGGGACAATAGAAATTGGAATTCAAAATCACAAATTGAAACAAAGTAATTATGACAGAATGCATACCTTGTTAGGCATTTCAACAAACACTTGTTAGACATTATCATAACAAGCCAAAATCCATTGAAAGGCTTAGTGTAATCGGAAGCAAAATAAAAAAAACATAAATTCTTTAGAGAACATCAAAGTTTAAGTTTTTCAATACCAAATAAAAACAAAGAAGACGAACCTGATAGTTTTTCAATAAAATCTCATCAACAACCTCATAAGCATCTTGACGTGCTGCTTCATGAACTGGTCTTGCATAATATCGAGGATCATGAGGTTTACCAGG